TCCTCAGTACCATTCTCAGTAGTCCTCAGCACCATTCTCAGTAGTCCTCAGTACCATTCTCAGTAGTCCTCAGCACCATTCTCAGTAATCCTCAGCACCATTCTCAGTAGTCCTCAGTACCATTCTCAGTAGTCCTCAGCACCATTTTCAGTAGTCCTCAGTACCATTCTCAGTAGTCCTCAGCACCATTTTCAGTAGTCCTCAGCACCATTCTCAGCAGTAGTCCTCAGTACATTGAGAGAGTTCATGTCATTTGAAATTAACTTGCCATGCACTGCCATAAAACAACCCCAATTTGAATAGTAATTAAACCTTTCACAAGTAAATCAAAATAACAGTATGTGAGTTGGTATATATTCACATATTATAGATATGTTTTCTATCAGAATATTTGAATAAATTTCTAAACATTCTTTTTATTATCGGTTAAAATTTAAACATGAAAGTGTTTCATTATAGCCCCAGGCTTAATGCCTTAAGTAGATTATATATTTCTGCCCTCCCTTCATAACCACAATTAATGCTTATTCCAAAGAAGTAAGGAAAAACACGAATTCTGTGCTTGGTACCTGACTGTTACCAACTTTGTTAGCAATCCCGTACCAAGCCCTTTACAATCACAAGAGTATTGGGGATTACGTATTGAGTAACTTTTAACTGATTCACCCCTGAAGACTCTTCCAGTTCAAAGGTTGGAATAGTTCATTATGAAATTTCAGGGGTGAAAGAGTTAATCCTATGTGTCATAACTGACATGGCTGTTAACTGAAATATTGTTTATATACCTGGATGTCATTCATTTGTAGTTCTAAATCAGTTTCACACTTAAACGGTCAAATCTTGACCATAACCATTCTTGACCAATGCAAGCCATGCATGATCATATAAGCCATAATGAGATTTGGATTAATGCTTTTGTATGGTTCATTTTGAAGCCTTGTTATCTTAACTCCATATATTTGGAAAATTTAGATTTGAAATATTTTCTTTAATATTGAAAATGATCAAACAATATCTCATGGTTCATGTTTAAAATAGATTATTAAGGCAAATTATATATATATAAAAGTCATTTTTATAAATAATGATGGGTAAAAAAAATGTAAAACATATTTTTCGGAAAAATTCTGTTGAGATGACAATGCTTTATCAACTGAGCACTTGAGTGTAAGTAATTTAGTGCCTAGCACTGTCTGGGCTATTGTCACAGCTGTTTACCTGAACTATTTACCTTTCCATTTTCTTTTATTTGTTCTTATGTCTTACTTAGGTACTAAATTACCAAATAAGGCTTTATAGTGAAGGCCCACACCAGATCTTTATGAACACCGACCAAATATTGACAGAATTCAGACAGACTAGTTTTGGTTCGGTGCTGTTATTATATTAATCCGTTTGAAAATTGCCTGACATGTATGTGTACATACAATAAATGTATGTCTTTTGTCTCGTAATACTAGTTTCCTTTGTACACGTCACAAACACAGAGATTATTAAATCTTGTTGTGTGGATTTGTAGATGGAAAGTTTAAACTAATTTGTCACACGCTCATAGTGCCCCGTGATCACCATTCGGTACTGGACGTTGTATATGTATTTAGGAATGTGACAACCTTGGGGTAATTTCAATAGATAACATTACTGTTCTAGATAACGTTTTAAGAATTTTGTGTGTGGAGCTGGTATTTATTAGCACAGTATTGGAAGAGTTTTTGGTAAGGTAAATGGACATTTGAATTGTTCGCTGGAACAAATATTTGGAATTTGGTGGTTTTAATAATAATTTATCCAACTGGAGGAGGTTTTGGTAAGATAAATTGTCAATTTCAATTTTCAACTGGAACAAAAAGAGAATTTGGTGTTGTAAAAGTAGTTTATCCAACTGTAAGAAATTTTGAACAATAGATTGTAAATTTCAGTTCTTAACTGAAACAAAACAGGTATTGAGTGTTTGTAGTTATAGCTAATCCTATTCGAAGCAATGTTGAACAAAATTTCTACAATTTGAATAGCAGTTCTAAGATAATTTTTGTAGTACATGTACGTTATATTGAAGAAGAGTTGGTAAGATAATTTTGTATTCAAAAATATTAACTGGGACAAATATTATTCTGTGGTAGATTATTCCTAGCACGATATTGGCAAAATTTATTTAAAAAAAATTGTCATTTCAAAATTTATTTGTAATTCTGCATCGGGAATATCAAAAACATACTGAAGAAATAGAATCCATTTTGGATCAGGTCATTTTGTCAATTCCATCATTTTGATTTCTTAATGTTAACACTTTGTCTTTGATTGACAGGAGAATGAACGACAGCTAAACCACTGGGAATTCCGACACAAACTGCTGAAGAGGATGAAGGCCGGATATGACCATGCCCGTAAGTCTATAAACCAAATTCATAGTATTTTTAGGCAAATTTTCCAGTACACTATTTTTGTCTTGCCACAACGAAGTAGCGGAAGCGAGACTTAGGTGTTGCTTGGACGATAGATGCATCCTAGGTAGTACATCTCAACCCATCTAGCAAATGCTGGATTCGGCCTACCTTTCATGGTCCATTGACATTGTCAGCATCTCCATCAATATTAAGTTTTTGCTGCTTAGGTTAGTTTCTCTGATATGTGCATTGATGGTCAAAGCGAGGCACAGGCTAGATATATCAACCTGAATGGCTTGTATTATGTTTATATTAAAAAAGTGTTTGGTAATTTTATTTGACTGTTAAAACTTGAATTTGACTGTCCCTAGTGAGTGACTTATCTTTCACTCATAGAACACATGTCTGTCTTAGGTCAATTATTTTACTATAAGACAATAATAATTGTGTACTAGTTTTTACTCTTTGTGAGCTGTTTGCTTATGAAAACATGTGTCTATTGATAGCAACACTTTCTTTTTCACTTCAAAGATCCACAAGAATGTTTTTAGGGACATGTTTGATTGCTATGTAACATCAATTTCCCCGGTAAGGTTACATACATGACCCCCCTCAATGTTTGTTCCAGGCGTGCCCGACCCCCCAAGTTGTGTGAGCCTCTCTGTGGCCAGTAGCTCCTCCCTGCAAGTCCGATTTGACGAGCCCCTGAATCACAATGGCGCCGTCGTCACAAAGTATAAAGGTAGGAATCACATGTGTATTATATATCAGACATCCCAGTGAGGCACTTCTATGTAACATGGCACTCGAGTGTCTTGCGTTTCCACTTAACAACTGTCGTCACGTGGCTTTAGTTTTCGTGAATACGTAAAACAACAAACAAACACCAAATCAGAAAGTGAAGAGATGTCTGGTTATGTACGTGTGCTGTTCGCCCAAGGGAATACATGTGTACCTGGTACTGATTGTTTAATGTTTGTCCAACTCAAGTTACATCTTTGTCGTCAAAAACATGCAATGTACATTTGTTAATCCACTGAAAAAGTCAATATGATTTTATAAAACTAAAAACACATAGTTCAAATTCTCTCATTAATAGAAAATTACAGAAAAAAAATGAACAAAAATTGTCTCAATTATGTTTTTTTAAAGGAAATTGATATATGTCTATGTATGTATTTAGCAAGGACTTCCAGAAAAGTTTTAGTTCAGGTACTTAAAATAAGTATTATCAAATACAAATTGTCTAAATCTTTCCTTAGTTCATACACCACTGAAATTTCTTAATGAATCATTCCAACCTTTGAATTGGAAGAGTTCAAATGTGTCTTCAGGGGTGAATGACTTAATGCATCTTTGATTTAAAAAACTTTAATCTTAGTTGAATCATGATTTTCATTTAGCATCACAATAAAAAAGTACATTAAGCAATTCTTAGATTTTAAAGTTATCAACTTTTCATTGTAGTCAAATATTGATTCTTTCCTCTGAAATCTGGATCTCAATAAAACTTTGGCATTTTTCCAAAAAACTTTTTTTTTTATGCATATAATTTCATTTTTGCAAATTTTACTTATTTCAAGTCTGCAGTCTGTCAGGTTAATGAACGGCATTTTTTGTGGAGAATATATCGGTCTTGATGTGTATGTTTACAAATCGCAAGGTGAGTCGTTTAAATGTCAGATCACCATATGGCCGAACCGTTCCACACACAGATGTTTCATTCCATCATCACATGTGTAGGAATAAGATATTTTAAAAACGCAGTAAACTACGTACATGTTCCGTCAATGGACGTCATCAACACATGCAAGTTAGGACTTTTATCACTTGTGGTAATGCCAAACTCCAGATTACGGAAAGGTTTTTATTTTTACCTTTGGATGAAACTTTGAAATTAGGTCTTGTTATGTATCATTAAGTTTGAAGATTAAAAAAAATAAAAGTTCTGCTAATTTCAAAATGTTGGGATAGACCTGTGGTTAGAGATTATGTTGTACAAACGTAAGTTAGAAAATATGGTCGGACATAATTATATATCTACATGTATAATGGTTAGAGATTAAAGGTGGCACGGGGGATAATGTACTCGTTTTTCACCAAGATGGCAAGGGGTTCAATTCCCCAATCTGACACGAAAAGGTATATGAGGTCACCTGCCCGACCACCTGGCATTTCTCTGGGTAATCCAGTTTCCTCCCATATTGAGACCCCCTGTGTAGTTTCATTTGGACAAACAAAATCGATTGATATAAGTTTAATTTTTTCACAAAAATCTTGTTTCATAATTGTTGTAAATTAAACGATGTCTATATATGTTTAACAATACCATATTATCAATAATTTTTGAAAACGTAATAAGAAAATATGGTTGAACTTACATAGAGGTTAAAAGTTTATAACAGGACATATTAATAATAAATGATTATCAAAATCAATAAGTTAATTATTCAACTTACCCGGTAACTAAAGAAGAATTTTTTTAAAAGACACATTTGCAATATTGAAACATAATGTTCTTAGATTTTAATAAGTTACATCTGTACCCTATGCAAATACCATGCAAATAGTTTTGAAAAAAGTTGTTTTGAAGATCTAAGAAACATGTTTCAAATATGAAGCTTGTGGCAATGATAAAAGAGGAAGGGGAGTAGGGAGAGTGGAAGTGAGGGTTGGGCAATGGGGAGGGGGAAGGGGGGTTCATTGCTCCTACACTAGTAAGTGAGGAAGATCTAACTGCCGAAGGGACTGATAGTGTATCTGTTGTCTATCTGGTGTGATAGTGATGGCTAACAAACATCCAGCCGACTCTATTATACAGCATCCTCTACACCAACACATGTACACATCAGGGGACCCTAAATAGGCCCACATGCAGTAAATTGTAATTATGAAAAAAAAACCATTATAATTTATTTTCCGTTTGATGTACAAATTATTATCACATGAATTACTCGTAAGTGAGACATGAATTCTCTGTAAGAGGTCAACTCCCCAATCATCTCCTCCTTTCATGGTTTTCTCTTCATTTTCTTCCTGCACCTTATTCCATCCTGTTTTTCAATCAGTCTGTGATCTTCCATACATGTAACCATTTTATAGCTACCCCATTCCCCCCCTTCTCAGTCAGTTCATTTCTTCTTTATTAACCCATTTGTAGCTACCCTTTCATCCACCTACTCCTTCAGGGCTGTTTCACAGACATTTTGTGGCTGAATTTGGACCTCATTTCCATTGAAAAAAAGTTGTATTCTTTTTCATTTCAGTTCAGTTTTAGCATGTTTTCATCTGACATTGCTACCATCTGAAATGCGGAAAACAAAAACAAAAGACATGATCATAATTATCAGGGGATAATTTCTTTTTGTTAAAACTTTGTTTTTCCACATTACCGTGAGACAATTTTCCCTGTTGATAAGCGACAGGCCTTTATTCCAAAAGTAATGAAAAGAACCCAGCTCTAACTAAATCTACCCTTAGCCATTCCGCCATTCATCCTGCTATAGTCTCTACTTCTCAATCTTTTATCCCTCAACGTTAGTCCCTCTTCCCTCTTTACATACAACTACCCTCTAACCACTATAGCTGTGTCATCTCTCTTCAATAAACCCATGTAATCATTACTTTACCCATCCCTCTATATCAACCCCGGCTCCCTAACCCCTTTCCCAACCCCTTCCCCTCCCTCTGAAATGAATCTACACTTCATCCATACCTGTCTATATCAACTCCCACCCCCCACCCC